TTTTTCAAATTCCTTTCTTTCCATTCTATCATTCTAATTTAAGTGCTTCTTTCAGACACCTACATATACAGTACATACATACATATATACTCAGATGTCAAATGTATTAAAAAGGTTTGTATAAGATGATTTGCAACATTCATAAATCAGCTGATACAAACTTTATCATTTACAAACTATGTATGGTCAGAATTCCTATATCTTTTATCATGGATTATTTATCTCTACTTTTATTTATTTATTTTGTTCATTATAGTTGATATCCTCCTTGTGATCGAATTTCCTGTTTCTAGATTTTTGATCTCTAATCCAACACATGTTATTTCTCAGTTGCTGTTGATTCAATTCTGATTTATGTGGATCATGTGTGCAGAACAGAACTGTTGTGATACATAATTAAAGATACAGAGATTTAGATTATACATAGTTTGTAAATCATAGAGTTTGTTGTTGTTAAGCGCCATTGAATCGGTTCCGACCCATAGAGACCCTGTATAACATTTTCGAGGAGCGGCTGGTGAGTTTGAACCACCAACCTTGCTGTTCAAAGTAACTTTGCAATCCAGTACACTAATCCACAGCGCATTAACCTTTCTGACTTATGGAGACCGCTTGCGCAGAACAGAACTGTTCTATAGGGTTGTCAAAGCTGTGATCTTTTGGGGGCAACTTGCTAATCCTGTCTTTCCTGCCAAACTACTACTTCTGTGTGCAGTTGAGTAATTTCTGATCATAGTCACATGTGTAGGGTTCCTGAAGCTGTGAATCTTTACGAGAGCAGAAAGCTTCAGTTTTCTCCTGTGGGGTTGCTGATGGAGTTGAATCACTGACTTTTGCAGCTAGCAGCCCTACCAACATATCCCAATGTGATTTCCTATATGGTTCCTGCTCAAATAAATCACTATGTGTTTGAAAGCCAGATTAGCAATACTCAAAGAAATCTTAATATATCAATATTCTAATTTCAATGCTCTCTGTTTAAAGTAGTAATCAATAGCACAGTCTCCAAATTTATATTGCCTGGATTTATGTCCTGAGTGTTAGTTACATAATCTTTCTCTTGTTAATCAAGTACTCTGTGTATCAGTTTTCTGTTCCTTTATCTACAAAATGTGAATAATAGAATCAATTTCATAGGTTGGTTGCAAAAAGTAGATTAATTGATATTTACGCCACAGGGAGAGGTATCTGCCACAGAAGAACTATTTTAAAATGTTATGCTATACTTTTCCCTCTCCCCTTCTTTAACCACATTTAACATTAAACTAATGTGTGGTGCAGTGGGATAAAGAACTGGACCACAAGGTTGATTTGAACCACAAGGTCAGTGGTTCAAACTCACCAGCCGCTCCATGAAAACTCTACACAGGGTCACAACGAGTCAGAACTGACTTGATGGCACTTAACAACTACAATGTTGAACAAATATTTAGAATTAGAAAATTTTATTGGAATTCTACTCTGAAATCCTAATTAATAAGAGAACTCAGTAAATCCCAATAAAAATGAGAAATGTCCGTATATTGCCAGATGCCACAGAGATGATAGCCAGAATGACAGGCATTTTTTTATCATTTGGATTCTGGTATATCAAAAGAATTATTGTCTTTTGGATTTGACATAAAATATTCCTTATTATTTGTATTGTTGTAGAAATTATAATGTTTCTGTTACTAAAGTATCACAGATTCATTTGAAAACAATTGATCTATAAAGTATTTTCTCTCGTAGGTTTCAATTACAACCACCTGAAGATGCTAATAATAAATGCATTCATGTAAAAAATGGTGTACTAGGTTATGATAATTGCAATGATGGCTACTGCATCTGTAAGAAGACAATCTATTCAGGTTAAATAAATCAGAATAAAAGAGAATGCCAGAATAAAAGATGCATTTCCTGTGTGTAATGATCTCAATTATATGAAATACATCTTTAGCTAAAAATACTATTTAACATTGAACTCCATATAGTTTTCTTTGTGTGTACCATAGTTCTGACTACTTGGGAGGATAAAGGCAGCACACAACATTTTAGTTACAATACCAAAATACCCAAAGCCCTTACCATGGGAGTTGATTCTGACAGGTAAAGGATAAAATGGAACTGCCCCGTATGTTTTCCAAGACTGTAATCAAATCCTGGTGTGGTGCTGTAGGATAATGTACTGAACGGCAAGTTTGGTTTGAACCACAAGGTTGATGGTTCAAACCCACCTGCTGCTCCTCAGAAACCCATTATGGGTTGCTGTGTGTTGGAACTGCAAGGTCGGCAGTTCAAGCTCACCATCAACTCCTTGAAAACCCTATACAGGGTCACTATGGGTCGAAACCAACTCGATGGCATGTAACAATAACAATAACAACAACAACAAATGTGTTGGAAACAACTGGACAGCACTTGACAACAACAATCTTCATGAAAGCCAACTGCCACATATTTCTTCTGCAGTATGGCTTGTGAGTTCAACCTGCTAATTTTCTAGTTTGCAGCCAAGCTGTTTTAACTACTTTATCACTAAGGTTCTTTCAGTATCAATAAACAATGCAATGGAATTGAAGAATGTAAAATACAGTAACTGGGATACAGGTATAAACAAACTCCCAACAATCCAGTTTTAAGACTTGTAAATCTTTCAATAGTTTCTGATTTCATTTTGTCATTATAATTTCAAATTTGTGTATAGGGGTGGTGTGTGTGTATGTGTGCGTGTATCCTGCCTCTCTTTGCATCATTATGGACATTGCTGGCAGAAAATGATTGTTAGGAGAAGAACATAAAACTGCTTGATAAATAAATCTCAAACTAATTACATTTTTTAAAAGATAGAAAAGAATGGCTAAAAGTGTAGTTAGAAAGTCAGGATATGTAAAACTGTACTAGCTCCTCAAGATGCAAAGAGTATGAGAATGAATAGCTTTCACAGGAGAAGAAAAAAGGAATTAATCCAATTAATTAAAAAAATGTTATAGAAGTTTGTAATTTTCAGGAACGTACTTTTTCAGCACTGGAAACAAACATAAAATTGTGCAAAACTAAGGTCTATCTGTGCTTCTACAGAACTGGGGAGGAAAAAAAAAAAAAGGAATGCAGACATTGATGAATGTGTTATTACAGAAAAAAATCAGTGGAAGTGGGGTAAGATGGTTATCAGTTATGACAAAAAAACCTGATCTAGAAGCAAGAATCTGTGAAAACCCTTGATGGAAAGACCAAGGCATCTGAGAAATGAAAAGATGTTATAGCAACAGATAGAAGGGAAGCAGAAGTAAACGTGTTTTAGAAAGATAAGCAAGCAGCATGTCAACAGAAACTGTCTTGGAATAAAGGGCATGACAACTGCATTCTAGAGTTAGAAGATTAAAATTACATGATACAATCCTAAGAGGAAAAAGCAGCTAGAAAAATGTAGATCCTTGAACTCTGAAAAAGGATATTGTTGTTGTTAAGTACCTTGGAGTAGGTTTCGACTCACAGTGACCCTGCAAAGGCCTTCCGACGCTATAAATCTTTACAGGAGTAGAACGCCTCATATTTCTCCTGCAGAATTGCTGACCTTGAGGTTGGCAGCCTGACTCATAACCACTACACTATAACTTTAACTCTTTGTTCAAGTTGCTCTGAATTCTTAAACTCTTCCTAACTGATATAAGGTAGGATAAAGTCATCTTTTTCTTCTTACAAGTTGAAATTAACAGATGTCATGGGATCACATGTAGAAATTCCTAGACAGTTGAGGAGCACAGCTCTTGTAACAAAATGAAGCTTAAATTTCTTATGGAACAACTGATACCCTAGATTTAATGGAAATTAAAAAAAAAAGTTATACTAAAAATGTATCAGTGGGTTAAAGGAGAATATTTGTGAACAAAAGAGGGGCACAGTGAATGGCATTTCTTCTCTCAGATAAAAAGCAGTAGACACACAAATGTAAAATTTGGAAACCAAGGAAAAAATTATAAAACACATACACACACACACACACACACACACAAAGTTCTTTAAAAGGGATTTTGAGGCATCAGAGATCACTGGAATACCAATAAAATATTCCAGTCACCATTAATTATTTGGAATTTCAGTTACAACATTTTTCTAATATAGATTATTTTAATTATTTGCAGTTGCTTGGTAATATTTTATTATCTCTTAGTCCTTGCTTAAATTCCAGAGATGTTTGTATAGTTTAGAAATCTGCTGCTTTAAATAGGGGTTTTCTGTTTTTTGTTTGTATACAATTCTTTTTGACATTACTGTCATTCAGATTTTGTTTTGCAAATTTAACTGAGAACCTATTTTGGTTGTAAATTCTCAACGGAGATTTTTATTTTTCCCTATAGCTCATCAAAAGTCAAGACTAGCAAAGATCCTTGCTACTTTTTCCCATATTATGAGTTTTATTTGGTGTTCTTATGAGCACTTACAGCCTTTTTGAATCTCTGCTTTAGGAAGAAAACATTTCTTC